TACTATGAGCCTTGCTCTAGCCTTTGTAGCTTCTATACCTCTATGCCCACAATGAAGGTCCACCAGTGTTTGTTTTCTAAGACTGGTAGGGATCAACAGTCTTACGTCATGCAGTATAAAACCATCATCTGACATCGACAGGTGTTCACGTACGTTCCAGTACTCACTGATCGAGGCATCTAGGTCTCGCTTCTGGTCAGGAAATCCATTAAGTATTGTTTCCTTCAGTGTTTGGTACTCATTATCACGATCAGAGGCTTCTCTGATCGACTGGAGGTGAATAGGAACATCTGCTTTCTCCATGCAGGCTGTGCGGATTGCTCGTACGGTACGAAGTGTCTCTCGCTCCTCCAGGTCTGTTTCGTCTGGCTCTTTCGTTGGGTACCAAGAAAATGCATCGGCCATCAAGTTGGTTTTACCTCTGATGTATTCGACTTCCATGTCAAATTCATGTGCTTGCATTAGGCAACGTCGAAGCCTCAGGTTGGTGACTTCGTCTAGTCGTCGATTGTTCGTCATCGATACAAGGGGTTGGTGCATTTCTGGTTTCGTTGCTTCTGTTTCAGGACAAACCCAAAACCAGACTTGCACGCTGCATCGGTGTATAACTCGACGGGCTGACCAGGCAAGTAGTATGCGAGCCTACCAGGTTTTATACTAGCATTTCTTTGACTTCGCGGAATGCCTGTTTTTCATCCTCTGACATCTCAAACTTTTTGTCCGATTTTTTGAGTAGGTGTCGCAGGGGGGCCAGTTTGCCTGCCAATCCTGGATCATATGGCGACATTTGGTTGGCTAAACCATGAAAGGATCGCATGTCTGTTATGCTTCTAGGCTCAGGAAATTCTCTGAGTGATTCTATCAGCGACGGGCTGATGGTAAATCCATCTTTACTCACGATCACACCCGCAAACTCTATCTCTTGCTTCCTGAATACAAATTTCTTTTCGTTCAGTCTAATGTTCCTCTCACGACATCGCTCCAGGAACGCTCGGACATGCATCAGGTGGTCTTCATCATTCTTCCCATACACGAGGGAATCATCTACCACTCTTACAATGTTGTCTAGGCCATGAAGGGATTCTGACATGCGGCGGTTGTAGTGCTCTGAAATACTGTTTATTCCGAACGGGGCCCTCTCATACCTAAAACGTCCAAACGGCGTTCTGAACGTAGTCAAGTCCTTCGATTCCTCTGCTATTTCGAGTTGGTGGTACCCTTTCTGGGCATCAAATTTCGTGAACAGAGATGCTTCGTTGGCTTGAATGTTCTGAACTGTCTCCAGAACAGATGGTGACTCGTAGATCTCGCGCTTTGAGAACTTATTCAGTGGCTTGAAGTTTACACATAGGCGGATGTCGTCCGAGTTCTTCTTTTGCTCCACCACTATAGGAGGCACCCAGTCTGTTGCTTTAGTCTGAGGTGTTATAATCCTAGCCTTCTGGAGGTGTTCTAGTTCTTTCTCTAATTTAGGCATCAGTGGGTATGACACACCATTGGATCTGGTGGCTTTGAACGGCACCGCTTTTTCTTCCAGAACAATCTTGAATTTTTCCCCCTTCATAGGGTTTT